CTCATCTGTCAAATTGCAATAAGACTTAACATTGAATAATCTTAAAGCGTAAGCCATTTCATTTGATAATTATATATCAACTATATTTGATAATATTTAATAAAATAGATTATAATAGTTAATTATATAATTATTTGATATATTATATACTATTATTATTTACAGAAGATTCGCTTGAATCAGAAAACTCATTCACATATTCGATAAATTCACTTGAGTCATACTCATCAATTTCAAAGCTTGTTGAAGATGTTTTATTTATATAAGACTGGTTATCATTTATAAAATCAATGTTCATAGAAGAGTTGTTTGATGTTTCGCTTTTAAACCTTTATACAATTATGTAGTTTTTAAAAAAAAATAAAAAATAGATTATTCAAATTACAAAATATATCTTTCTAAGTTTAAAATATCAGTAACAAATGTATCATCAAGTATTGAACTAGAACTAGAACTAGAATTCAAACTCAAACTTGAAAATTCTTCTTATTCATGATCTTTTTTGCGATATCTAGTTCTAGTAAATTTAGAAACCAAAAGACTAATATTTTGTTCTGTATCTTTTTTTTGACATGTTGAACAAGTATAAAGAACTTTTGTTGACATTTAAAAAAATTCATGATGTATACGACTTATTTTTTTTTTTTGTTTTTAAATTAAATCATATTTATATATAGCTGATGATAAGATTAACCAATTTTAGACATAAATATTTCATGTTGATCAAATTTGATATGTGATATTCATGCAAACTTTTTTTTTTTAAAAATTCAGGTATAATATTTATGTAATCAAAAAATAACTTTTTTTTTAAAGTTTGGTATTTCTAATTTGGCTAATTTGTTTTTTTTTTACAACTTATAAATGAATAAATCAAAAACTTCTAAAGTTCGTTATTACCAACTCACTCCTAAAGAATATGAAAGATTTGAGAATTCAGGTGACAAGTCATCAAACCAGGAATTTTATGAATCCTCTGACAATAATGTTACAAGTAAATAAATATTCAATAAAAAAACTTCTGATAAACTCATAGACCACATTACTGCTTTAGAAAATAAAAATGAAGAACTTGAATATAATGTAAGAAGGTCTCAATATTCTCAAAACAAAACAAGTTCGAAAAATATATTGGCTGAAACTAATAGTGTTTCAAATTCAAGACCTAGCAAAGAAAAAGATCTAGATAAAAAACATAAAATATACAAAAAATTTTATATAAAATATCAGGAATCTAGTTCAGAGATCAAGCTCTGAATATGAATCAGATAAGGTATGTTTTGTTCTCTTTTTTTTTGAAAATAACAAAAATACCAAATCTTTTCTATTTGACATTTTTTATTTCAAAAGATAAGAATGCTAGCTCTATAATTAATGTATCAAATGGTTAATCAGCAACTTCATTATGAACTACAAGTCTAGTATGATCATTAGAAACTGATATTCTCTTTACTCTTTTAGCAGATACTGGTTCAACTTACGATTTAATATTTTTTGTTTTGTTTATTTCTGTAATAGAATCAATTTCATCAAGAGAAGTGTATTCAATTCTTTTAATAGATACTAGTTTAACTTGCAATTTAATATCCTTTATTTTATTTATTTTTGTAATAAAATATTTAACATTAGCCAATGACAAAGTGTCATTAAAATCTATAATTAATATTTTAAAAAATGTAAACAAACTTTCTTTGTAATATTAATATTAGATACAGTCTCTGGTTCAGTAACAGATGAATTTATTTGATCATCAGAATTGTATTTTTAGTATTCTGAGTTAGGCATCAGATTTTTATTTTATCTAAGTCTCTTGTTATTAGCTGAATAAGTATTTACAATTTTGTGTCTTTGTGTTAAAACTATTATAGATGCTATTTAGTTATTTTATAATAAATGATATAGTATTTGAAACTAAATAAATCACCTTCTTTTTTTGCCTTTATTGTTCTTAGATATGTTTTTGTGATGAGTATTATTACCTATATAAAAAAATATTATTTCAATTAATTTGGAAAAATTCAGATTTCATCAATTAATGATACATACAGATAATATTGATCTTGTGACGCATAGGATAATATAAAGCCCAATCTCCAATACATTTAGGAAAATAAGGATTCTTTTTTTTAAACTATAAAAAACATGTAATATTAGTTTAGAATTGAAAGAATCAGAAAGTTAAAAAATTATAATATACCTTGCGTATTATATTAATCTTAACATTTTTATCAATATTTTTATATTCAACATCACTAGGAGTATAGCGATCAATGAGATTAT